CTATGCAATCCCAGGCTACAAGCTGATCAGAGCTGACAGACAGGACTATGGTGGTGGTGTTGCCTTGTACATAGCGGAACGTTTCAACACAAGGGTACTGACAATACCAATGACAGCAGCAGAATGCATATGGACGAGAATATCCACCGGTAACCTTTCCCTCGTTGTTGCAAACATTTACCGACCACCCCGTAGCGATGGCACCCTCTTCTGTGCGGAACTGGAAAGAAGCATCAAAACCGCTAGAGCCGAAGGTGACGACCTCCTACTACTTGGAGACTTCAATGCCAAGAACAGTGCGTGGCTCACCACAGACAGAACAGATCGCCTTGGGGACGACATACAAACTCTGCTACACACATACGGCCTCACACAACATGTCAGATTCCCTACTTACATCCACCGACAAACACCTCTCTCATGTCTAGACCTTGTTATCTCCTCACTCCACACCAATGATATTCATATCCAATCACTTCCACCGTTTGGCGCATCCGATCACACTACTATCAGTGGCCACATCGATAATCAACTGCCCCCCATAATTAACAACTCCCCTCCACGATCCAGAAGCACCACATTCTGGTCATGGACAGACAGCACTATCCACCTTCTTCGAGAAGCCCTTTCACGCACAAATCTCAACCACCATCCAAACCAACACGACCCATGCCCAGTTGACACCTTCTGGCGATCCTGGCGTGACAATGTCATGAGCATCGCCCAAGAACACTGCCAAGTTACTCGCACTCACCCCCCTTGGGACAGGAAGAACGTGCCAGCACGACCATGGATATCAAAGGGCCTCTTGAAAGAGATCAAGGATAAGCACAGAAAACACAGAATATACCTTCACTCACGCTCGCCTGACGACTGGAACACGTTCACTGCCCAAAGAAACCGTGTCACCACCCTCCTGCGTCGTGCTAAATCGGATTTCGTAAACAACTCAACAGCCTCCTCTACTTCCCTACACCGCCTCATGAAGCACCTAACTACAGCTACAAAACAACGCATACCCGAACTCGTCAGCCAAGCAACTCCTGCAACGACACCAGCACAAAAAGCCGCTGCCCTCAACGAATTCTTCATTTCACAGAGCAAGCTGTCCGTGGCCAATGCGGATGAGCAAACTCCAGCCATCAACACCACCCCTGACATCCTCAGTCCCCTTCAAGAAATCTCGACTTCCCAAGCTGAGGTCGAAAAACTCCTCCGAGGAGTTGATACCAACAAAAGCCCCGGGTTTGACTCTATTCCAAACCGCCTCCTCAAAGAAGCGGCTAAGGAACTTGCACCGTCGTTATCGTCCCTCTTTAATCTATCGTTCCAAACCGGAGAAATCCCACAGGAGTGGAAAGATGCCACCATTACTCCAGTACCCAAGCCGGGTGACCCAACCCAACCAACAAATTATAGACCCATCTCTCTCTTGAGCACTACATCAAAAATCCAAGAAAAAATTGCACATCAACTCCTCTACAAGCACATCACACCCCACCTGCCCAACCAGCAGTCCGGATTCCGCGAGAAAGACGGCACTGAGCAGCAGCTCGCCCGTCTCGTCCATACCCTCTCCACTGCGAGAGACGACGGGAAACACGTCAATGCCTGCTTTTTCGATCTAAGCAAGGCCTTCGATCGTGTGTGGCATGCAGGCCTTCTAGCAAAACTCTCCCACTATGGTGTCCAGGGCAACGCCCTGGAGTGGTTCCGACGGTACCTGTTGGGGCGTCGGCAAAGGGTCCAGGTGGATGGCGACCTATCGCCTTTCCTCGAGATCCCTGCCGGCGTCCCTCAGGGATCTGTTCTTGGGCCGCTTCTATTCCTCGTCTACACCATAGACCTTCCACATGCATGTGAGAATCCCGGCACCACCTGTAGCCAGTTTGCAGATGACACCGCTCTGATTTCCATAGCGAGAACTCTTCAAGACTGCACCCGAAACCTACAACAGAGTGTCACAGCAGCTGGAGACTGGCTTCAAAGATGGCACCTGCTGGTTAACACAAAGAAAACAGTCATCCTCCCGTTCTACCACAATAACCGCCCCCCTGAACAGCTACCCCAGATCACCCTCAGGAATAGTCCGCTTACCGTAGCACAAAAACACAAACACCTCGGAATAATCTTTCAGCATGACCTCCGTTGGACGGAGCATGTTGAATACATAGTCAAAAAATCACTCAAGTCTTTCAATATTCTTTTTAGACTAAGGTCTACACTCACCAGTGATTCTTTATCTCACATCTATCAGACATACATACTACCTATATTCTCATATGCGAGCACTGCTCTCACACCGTTGTCCCACACTTCCCTTGACAGGCTAGAACGACTCCAGCGGAAAGCCGCCAGAATATGTCTCCACCTTCCCCTTTACACACACTTAGAACACTCCCACCTTTTGCATCGCATCAAATGGCCAACATTATTTTCACGTTTTAAAGTTAAACATATACTCTTCGCACATTCTCTGCGCCACAATTATGCCCCACCACATATACTCTCGCTGCATACTGCTAGCAACGTGCAACCTTCGTATAATTTACGTCGCTCTCGTACTTGGCACTTGCCAACTCCGCGGACTGACCGCTGTCTCCATTCTCCCCTGTACAAGGCCCTTCATTACTTTAATTGCCTGCCCACCCAGCTTCGCGAAAACCCTTCTCGTACTCCCTTCAAATCCGAGATATCCCTGCTGTTGCACAACTCTGTATGCTCGTGTAGCGACCACCCCTGCCCGTACACTTAAGTACGCAACTCTGTATGCTCATGTGGCGACCACCCCTGCCCGTACACTTAAGTAGTCATTAACCCCTAGGCCCTGCCCACCCAATTCTTCCTCACTCTTTCTCCTTTCTTACACTATTATCTCTTATTGGCCACTGGCTATCGTGAGAATAAAGATTTGAAACTATCTGTACATGTATCAAACTTACAGTATAATAGATAGTAGATAGTTGAAAGTTCGTTCGTGGCCGCGGTGGAGGTGGCTGCGGCGGTGGAGGTGGCCGCGGCGGTGGAGGTGGCCGCGGCGGTGGAGGTGGCCGCGGCGGTGGAGGCGGACATCACATTACACAGATCACATTGCAGACATCACATTGCAGAGATCACATTATGGAGATCACATGACACAGATCACATGACACAGATCACTTTACGGAGATCACATGATGGAGATCACATGACACAGGTGACATGACACATATGATGCTATGATAATTTCTCCCCTACACTCACTCGTGTTAAGCCTTGGGTTTTTGCATCTTCCTGACCTGTACAGCTCTATCTTCTTCTTTGTTTTTTGGTGCGTGTTTTTGGCAGTGACGCCGAGACCTCAGGTCGGCAGAGTCAGCAATGCCCCGCCATCACTGCTGCGTCTCGGTGCAGCGCCTGCTCATTAGTTGTCACATTTGTCCTAGTCTCCGTACCATTGTCTTTCCTTATTCTTTTCGAGCTGGTTATGTGAACGTAGTAAAACAAAAACAAAACAAAAACACAGATCGTATGATGGAAAACACATAGAGATCAGGTGTGTTTGTTGTCTCCTACTTTAACATTCATAAAACTTCGTAAGGTTGTATGTTATCTGAACTAGAAAGTACACAGTGCATAGACCAAAGTAATGTTTTTTGTATACTGTAAAGCAGCGCAAAGAAGAAGATAGCTAATGTAAACAGCGAAAATGTGAAAATGTGCGACCTATACGCATAGCAATAATGACACAAAGGGTCAAGTGCGAGAAAACTCAATAAGCGTGACATGTAGTGTTGTTTGGGCATCCTGTCACGCTTATTGAGATTTCTCGCACTTGCACCTTTGTGTCATTATTGCTAAAAACAATAGGAGGACAGAAGAAGTGTTTTTACTCAGTTTTTTTTTGTCATTATTGCTATGTGTATAGGTCACGCATTTTTGCTGTTTACTTTAGCTATGTAGATAATCGACGCGCACTACACAGTTCTAGCGTTACAATAAGTTTCTCCCCCCCCCTCCCCCCTTGCACTTAGCTCTCACTTCACTTCTTTTGTCTCACCTCCCCACATTCTAATTTAACACTTCATTTTGTTCTCGTAACACATTATTGAATGTATAATTATTTAATCATTGTTCAGCATGGTTACTCTTCAGTCACGACTTTCACTGATGAATGTGACGAGAAAATCTTGATTTTTGTAAACTTTCATGACTTCGTTGTAGTGTGGCGACGACAGCAGAATTTGTTCTCTTTATTGCTAATACTTTAGCTATCTTCTTCTTTACGAATTATAGGTTGCGACTTCGGCGATGATTTTGTTTAGGAATGGGTTTGCTCCCACACTGGAGCTCGCGCTATTCCGCGGACGACTTGACACTTGACTCAAGTGTCAAGTTGTCGGCGGAATAGCGCGAGCTCCAGTGTGGGAGCAAACCCATTCCTAACCTTCTTTTCGCTGTTTTACCGCCTCCTAACTCTATACTGTAAAACATGTAATTTGAGGTGTATTAAAATTTCGGTGTCAGGGACCTGCCAGGTTTCAGGTGTAATTTACAATTAGGTGACCACTATTCCCTGCACATACAGTGCACATACAGTGCATACTCTGGTGTCTTTTAGGTGTAATCTAAATTTAGGTGCTTGTTTTCTCTACCGAAATCACCGAAAATAAAGTTACACCAAAAGCATCGTGTTTTACAGTATCCTAATGTTTAAAAAAAGAGAAGAAACACATGAGAACGAGTTATGCAGCAAATATCCACGACTGTAACAAGATGATAAACAGTCAGAAAGTGCGATAATAGGGCACAATAATAAGGTACAAAACTGACCGGCTACTGAGACATTCAGCGACACGAGACCTACCTCTGACACATCCAGTACGCGAACCAACAGCCTTCCAACTTGGAAGGTTCGTGGTTACGTAGGACCGAAGAGGGGAATGTGTTTCTTCTCTTTTTTACAATTATTTCTGGCTCAGTATCCGAGTATATCCTCATGCTGTTTTTTCTGCAGTGACATGAGCAACAATAAATTAGAAGCATTCCCAGAAGGATTGTTCACACCACTTAAAAATGTCATATACCTGTAAGTCCTTTGCATTGAAGTAGGGGCAAGGAATGCATCTAATACTGTACTACAAAAAGGCTTCGCACTACTCCAGCTGTCAGCTGATGCTTTGAATGACGTGGCTGCTGCTGCTGCTGCTGCTGCTGCTGCTCTCTCTCTCTCTCTCTCTCTCTCTCTCTCTCTCTCTCTCTATCTATCTATCTATCTATCCATGTTGCTACCCTTACTAGTGATAGTCCTCACCCTGAAGTTGCTGTACTAGTTACTTTGTATTTCTGTTTATTGTGTTCATACTGAGTGCGCAACTCACTCTGTCCATTGCGTTAATATTAGGAATAATTAATGGACTCGGATGGGGAGCCAAGGTTTAATTTATACAAAAGAGTAAGGACCGAGGTACTACAAGTTACGCTATACTGCCCATTAACACCACCAGTTACTAAACAATCGGCTCATGCGATAACATTGCACGACACTGAGCGACGGTACTGATGTTCAACAACTAACTGGCTAACAGCTCTAGCACATCTTGGATGCGCACTCCAACAGCCTTCCGACTTGGAAGGTTCGTGCAATGTTTTCGCATGAGCTGATTGTTTAGTGACTGTTGGTGTCGGTGGACAGTATAGGGTAACTTGTACTTCCTTGGTCCTTTCTCTTTTGTATAAACGAGGGAGCTTGGAAGCTCAGGGCCGTACGCTATGCTTTCTTGCCTAACTCATCATGCATGTCACTAGAACTGATGGAAATGGTTTTTTCCATTGATTGGCTACATCATTGTATTGCAAAAACGTTTCAATCAGTTTGATTATGAGTTAGGCAAAAGTAATTGCATATTTTATAGCGGATTGTTATTTTCTCCCACTTCATCAACTTTTGCTTTGCTCCTTCTTTTCTTTTTTATCTCCTTATAATCGGATTTTCTGGCCTTTTGTAGTAATACATTGACCTGTTGAGCCAATGAGGTAAAATTATATTCCATACAATATGATACAATACAATAATACAATAATGTCTTGCCTTTTTTGTTTGAAGTTTTATTTTACATCACAAACCAAACGGGCATCAATGCCCAATATTATGATGGCGATAGAATAAAAAGTGTGGTTCTATAAAGCTGCACTTGAGAAAATGAGAAAACAGTCAAGAGGAAGTATATGTAAATGTACCGGTATTTACAAGTTCGAACGAATTAACAATCAGAGAGAAATAGGAAGATGAGGACCTATGCCAGAGGGAGGTACTATTCGGCCATATTAACCGTAGAAAAACCCTTTCAGCAATATTTAAAACGGCCACCTGATAGAGTGCTTGTGCTTAACTGTTGGTGACGGCCAAATTCATCGTTACCTGTGGAACACATCACATAACTTTAAAGTCTCCTATAATACGCATCCTGTCCGACGGCAAAAGAAGCTGTGGATTTAGTTTTTCTGCATGTTATCAGCAATGACTACTGATCTTCAGCAACTTGGGTCTCCTGTAATACACATCCAGTCTATGCTTTGATAATGCTAACATAAGTATCTAATATTGACTGAGTACGAGGTCAATATAGGAAATAAAAGCCGAGTAAAAGACCGAGGCGAAGCCGAGGCCTTTTACGAGGTTTTTATTTCCTATACTGACCAAGTACGAAGTCAATATTAGATTTATCAGGACAAACAGTCCGTATTTCAAATTCCTGAACGATAACATCATGAATCCTGGTTTTATGATTGCACAACCGTTGCACCACCACACCTACTCATGCAGTGGCAATGCTGCACTAGGCACCGTTCAACTGCGCAACCCCTAAGCAGTCAAATATAAGCAGTCAATATAGCCCTAAGGAGTGAAATATGCAGGAATATTTGACTGCTTAGGTATAGTGAAAATCAATGGGAGTCAATACTAAGGGAGTGAAAATCCTCGGGATAGCACTCGCACAATGTCATCGTATTTGTATTTGTATTTATGGATTCTCCACAGGCCTTAGCCTAAATCGAGGGAATCCCCGTCAACAGCTTATGAAGAAGAAGCTGAGGAGAAAAATAAAAATAGGAAATAGAATGATGCGGGGTGGTAGTAATATAACACAGTGCTCTATGACATCACAGTGCTCTATGACATCGCTACTCTACGTGGAATGAAACCAGAGGGCTCATAACGGGTGATAGCAAAGTGTGTGCGGACAAGAGCGGTGAAACATTTTGGGCTGGATACAGTACGAATGGTCCATGTGGCAGTGGTGACAAAGAGAAAGGTGGCACGGGTGTGTGTGATGGCTCTAGCAGGTGGGAGTAGATGTTGGGGGCGCCTGGCGCTGTTTGACACTGAGTAGCCTAGGTCCTCCAGGGTCGTCATCTGGCTATTGATAAGGTGGTGGAGCTCAAGAAGGCACTGAATGTGTCTTCGCCATGCGAGGCTGGGCCACTGGAGGTGCGCAAAAAGTGAGGCTTTCGGCTCCGTTTGAGGAGGGTACACGCCATACTTCCGCAGGATCACACGTGCCACTCTTGCCTGTAGCCGTTCAAGGGTAGTAGCCTGAGCACTGGAGAGTTGAAATTGCCGGAGGGATGAAGCGTATTCAACCACAGGTCGAACATATCCAGTGTACAAGCGGCTGGCTACTGCTGGGGTGATACGCTTGGTCATGTGGATCAGCAGGACTGCTCGCTGGCGAAACTTTGTTGTGATGGTGGCGACATGGTTGGTGAAGTCAAGGTTAGAGTCCAAGATGACCCCAAGGTGTCCGTGAGTCGTTACATCAGACACGTCATCTCCCTGCATTCTCAGGTGCGGAGTCGGATGAGTAGGGTGGGCACGTTCTGCACGACTTCTAGGAGAGAACTGCATGGTGCAAGACTTCGAAGGGTTGAAGCACTCTCCGACTGAATCAGCCCACTGCAGAACGCCATCAGTGGCGGCCTGGAGGGGTGGACCATTTGTTGTTGATTAGGTCCTCCGGCTGCTCTCCCAAGAGTAGTGTCATCGGCAAATAAGAGCACATCAGTAGTGACATCAGACTATATGGTTCGGGGAAGCGCATTAATGTAGAGAATGAAAAGAATGGGGCCAAGGTGAGATCCCTGGGGAATGCCTGCAGAAACTGGGTGGGTCGGCGACTTGGCAGAGAGAACTTTGACACATCGTCCTGCTATACAACATCCTAATACCATACAACACCGTGTTGATGTCTGTCTGTCTGGCTGGCTGTCTTCGATAGTACGGTACAGGACAGGTACGGGATAGCGCCAGGCATGCCGATGGCATAAACAAACAAACAAACACGGAATTAAAGCTGTGTGGACCCTGGCTAATGCCAGACGTTACTGAAGTAACGTCTTTTGCATAGCTACGGGAATAATCTGCAGACAGAACTGTTTCGTCCTTTGTGAACTCATCAGCGCAGCACAGAGGAAATGAGGCCGACCCTGGTAGCAATGAGAAATAAATTAAACCAGGCTGAATATACCTTGCCAGAGTGATCAAAGTGACAAGTAAGGGAGCTCTGCGTAATGCAAACAGCAAAGGCACTACCCCACATGAGAGTGCTCAACTGCCACAAGAGCAGAAGCAAAATACTCCATCTGCAGACAAAACTGTTTCGTCCTTTGTGGACTCATCAGTGCAGCACCGAGGAAATGAGGCCAAACCGGGTAGCAATGAATACATGCATACCGCACAGCTGCCAATACAAGACACTTACCATTCCCATGACTCACACGGAATGTATTTGGATTAGAATAACAACCGGCCAAGCCTCCCTTGTGGTAGGGAACATCTACCGTCCCCCACGGTCCGACCCGGCAGAGTTCGTGATGGAACTGGAGAGAGTCATAAAGATAGTTGAAAGACCCCAAGATGAGATAGTTCTCCTTAGCTATTTCAACGCCAAGAACTGCTTGTGGCACTCCAACGACAGCACTGATGCCTCAGGTAAGGACCTGCTTTGGCTGTGCCAGACTCATGGCCTCACACAACACTTGTCCGTTGCCACCCACCTATGCCAACACACACCTACATCGTGCCTGGACCAGGCCATCTCTGGCTTCAGCCACAGTAACATCACCCGCTTAAGTCCGCTTAGTTGTAGAACAAACCTACTATGCAGTGCACTTCACACCCGTCTACACAACAATGCGTGCGTTCACGGTCTGGCTGAACTGGGACGTTCTACCAACCCAACAACTCACTCATATTGTATACAACTTTGAATTCCGGCGTTGTGCTAGCCGGTATGTTGGTAGAACTGTTCAGCACCGGAGCGCACGGATTAAACAACACACACCGCTTCACATTCTATCAGAGGAAGCATGCAGAGACCGGCCTAGGCGTGGCAGGCCACGGAAGCACCCACTACCTGTCCTGCCCCAGTCTTCTCCACCAAATCCAGTCAGGTTATCTGGTGCTGGTTTAACAGACTCTTTGGTGTCTGCAGCATCAGCAATAGCAATAGCGGTGACGGTAGTCGACAGTGAGTAAACAGCAAAGCCGACACCAATGTCCATCACTATCATAGATCGTGGCAAACCCAGGAAGTCTATGCCTCCTCAACAAACGCCAGGCATACGCCCCCTGCCGAATCCACCACCTTCTGACCAAACCTTGCCGTCGTCAACATTGGAGCAGACTACAACAACTTCTCAAAGACCAAGACATTCAACAACTTATTACAGTATGAACTATTATACCGGCCAACGACATGTTCATCGTTCCCAAGCGGTCGCTGGTTTCTCCCACAATGTCATCGTAGGAGGAGGCCCAGCGTGACGGCAACACTGGACGTGACCGCAAACGATGAGGGCGACGACGGAAATGGTACTTACGGAGGAGATTCTAGCAGTTGAGTGAGGGAGAGTGCGTGGGTATAGGATAGTGTGAGAGTGAGTGTGGGTGTGTTTTTCGACCTCGTAAGTCTTCGGTGTATAATCACTTGGTATCTCGTCCTGAATGTTGCCAAGTGTATTCTAATTCATGTTTCTCCGTTTCGTGTCATGAACGTCATGGCTATCAGTTACAGGTGAAAGTGTTGGAGGCTGTTTTTTATTATCATATTGCACATACCTACGGAAGAAGGGAAAGCAGAACAAAGACAAAACAAGAAACAACAATTGGGGTGTAGGCGCTGCATGACCTGCGCTGGTTAGATGCGGTGGACTCCCCCCGACCAAGGGTCTCGGGATCGGTGTACACAGCAATCACCATGGGGATGGGGACGAGGAGAGGAATGACGGAGAGAGAGAGAGAGAGAGAGAGAGAGACGGAGGGAGGGAGGGAGAGACGGAGGGAGCTATCCCGTACCTGTCCCGTACCGTACCATCAAAGACAGCTGGCCACAATGGTCAAATAGGGCTTTCAAATGCAAGACCATAATGTGAAGCAACCTGTAAGAATGAGTATGTATGCAAAGTGTATCGGGGGAATGCATGCAGGGCGATAGTGCGGGTTCGAATCCTAGGTTATGTCTTAACCCTTAGGTGCCGGTAGGTCGATTTCCACCTATGCTGACAGTGCATACTAAAATCGAGCACAGAGCCGGTCACGTACATCGCAGGTGTCTGATATTTTGTACAGAGACGCTTCAGTAGCTGGCCTGTAGATAGCAATAGAGAAAGTAGGGGGGTTGCATTTGAAAAAGTCGAGTCGTGATCAACGTGATCGCGCAGATCAGCGGAAGTCAATCGAGCGTGGCAGCCTACGCACGGGTCGCGCAACACGAACAAATTAAAAAATAGGAGAAATAAATTTTTTTATAACATCCCTATGCTTCTTTTGCCTAGGTCATCAAGGTGGTAGACGGTGTCGTATTACCCTCGTTCGCAAAGAGAAAGTTCCCTCTCGCTAGGCAAAAAAGCACAGCGTAGGGCGCTGAGCTTCCAAGCTCTCTCATTTAGTGTTGTATCCGCGGCATATTTTCAAATAATAATAAGCATGTGTTTAGACAAGTGTACTGGCTCCTGTTTCTCTTTCTGTGTTCTATTTTGCAGAATACTGGATGCTAATAACCTGACGACCGTGCCAGCTTCAATGTTTACATCGAGCAGACAATTAACATACCTGTAAGAATGATTTAAGGAGATTGAGATGACATTGCAACGAAAGCAGCAGTATGATTAGTGACTGAAACAACACCAGCAGTACCAGCAAAGGATTTTCATGCGGACATTGCAAGGTGTAATAGGTGTATTCATACTAAGACCGTACAATAATCACTATTCGTATTTCCCGCTCCTTCACCATAGCAACGAGAGCCTATCAAGTATAGAAGAGCGCATGCTCCAGTGGTTCTCTAGTGTTCTGCTCTCCTTCTCACTCTTGGCTACTCTGTTGTGTAAATACTTCGTCCATATAATCATCAGTGGGGAAAAATACGGAACTAAAGGATACCAAAGAATTAAACTGAAGTTAAGTAAGAGAAAGGTTAAAAAGTCGGCGTGGAGACAAGAAACCCAATATTGACGAAAGTAAAATGAGCGCACTCATCCCACGATAGCAATTGAAAAAAATAATTATGTTAAAATGTCATCATGTCGACTAACTTGCCTCTGTATATTGGTTCATCGAATGCTCTTGGGTTGTGTTCCTGAACGTAAAGCCTTATAACTGGTTTGTTTCGGGCCGCTCAACCAGAAACGTGTCTCTTCCCAAGGCCAAGTCAACGCAATTCACAAGATCGCCATTCTTCCAGGGCTACTGTGCGTGGCTAGAACTTCCCGACTCGGTGAAGACTTCAGCATCATTGAAAGAATTTAAAGTGAATCTGAGGGCCTGCTGATGACTGAGTGCACCATAATAATAATAAAACTAATCAATATAGCTTTTCGGCTGTTTCCTTTTCATGTATATAATCATCTCCTCCTTTTACCACGGTTGGCTATCACTCACATCTTCCCGTTTTGGTTGCCATCGGAAGCCATAAGATGTTGAATAAATAAATAAATAAATGTAATCATGCCTCCAATAGTGCTAGCTTTAGAATACCAGTGTCTCTTGCATTAGTTTTAGATCTAATAATGCTCACCTTATGGGACCATAAATATCTTTCCTTTGTTGTCCAACTATCATTGTGATGAAAATTTATAATGATAATCACAAGAAATCGACGTTCAAATTTTAACATATGAGCCCGGATCAGCGAAAATCATCGCTTGCGTTTGATATCAAATTGATCAAAAAGTGACGTTGAAGTCGAGCGAAAGAAAAGTCGTGGACCTAACAACTTCCCACCACCTTCCTGTCTTTCTTGTCACTAGCCTTTCTTTCCGCCTGACAATCCTGTGTTTGTTTATTTGTCAGTTACTAGCTAGCTAGGCAAGCCCCAGGCAAGTGAGGAGACACGGCTGGGAACCCCCACGTACCTGCGCTTGGCTGGTGAATACGTACGATCGCGGGGCGCAAGCATCGCACGCGCATCGATCGTCGTTGACGCCAATCACGTCACGTAATTTTTTGTTGATGACTGGGTTGGTGATTGCTCATCAAGGGAGTCAGGTGAAAGATACGGAGCTCCAGAGGATGACTCTCTCCTGCCGCAAAGCAACTCAGCAAGGCTGCAGACTTTGTGTAGAAGAAAGCAGCTCTGCTGAGACTGACGACGAAGTAGATATTGCGGAGGGATGAACGACTCATTCACTAGTGCGTTAGTCGGATATCGACAGTGACGTTGCAGAGCAAATGCGTCTCGATCCGCGACTGGGAGAGCAACGAGTGCTAGTGCAAGATAAGATCTGCTTCGTTGGCTTGGACACTGAGCGACTTGAAATATTTATTTGGTCCATGCAGCAGCTCTCAAAAATATTCAAAAATATGTTCCTGTTTGGTCAGGTATCTGCACTTGTACATAGTACGTACCTCATGAGCCTCTGTGCTAAGTATTCATAGCCACTAGGATTGCACTCCGTGTGTGCACATATGTTTTCATGGAAGTGAGGGGGCTTGGAGAGCATCTGTACAGAGCCTGGTGTGGATGCAAGCGAAAGAAATATCAGTCCCTGGAACTTGTCCATATGCCGTTGGATCAGTTGTATAGTCAGTGAAGCAAATGGATTACTTGGACAAGCAAGTGTCTGAGTACACCCCTAATTAAGGACTATAAAAATTCCTCCTTGCTAGCCAGCTGAGTGATGGCATGGCCTAACAGGATCAGACACATACCAACTCTCATACCTGTATCTTACACAGAAATGCCACTTACAACATTAGTACAGATATGTAGTGTACCACTTACGGTGCTGTGATTGATTCAAAATTTCTTGAGACTGGTTATCAGTAGTTGTGGATCAATTTGGAGGAAAATTGTTTTTAGAAATTCGTGCACATGTGATGGCTTTTGCTGATTCAGGCTCATTATTATTATTGTTCAATTGTAATCGTGGTATGAGTGCACTCATTTTACTTTCATCAATAATAGAAAGGTGTTAGAAATGCCACATAAGAATCATGATACAGGGTGCGGGGATTCTCACGTGCATCTGTAAGGTCCATGGCATAGACGAGGAATAGAAGCGGCCCAAGAACAGATCCCTGAGGGACGCCGGCAGGGGTCCCGAGGAAAAGTGAAAGGTCGCCATCCACCTAGACCCTCTGCCGTCACACCAACGGTACCGTCGGAACCACTCCAGGGTGTTGCCCTGAACACCATAGTGGGAGAGTTTTGCTAGAAGACCTGCATGCCACACACGACCGAAGGCCGTGTGTGGCATGAACTCAAGAGAGAGATGGGTCTATAGTTTGTTGGTTGTGTCGGGTCTCCAGGCTTGGGCATTGCAGTAATGGTGGCATCTTTCCACTCCTGTGGGATTTCTCCGGTTTGGAATGATAGGTTAAAGAGGGACGATAACGATAGTGCAAGGTCTTTAGCGGCTTCTTTCAGTAAGAGGTTTGGTATAGAGTTGAACTTAGTATCAACTACGCGCAGGACTTTTTCGACCTCAGCTTGGGAAGTCGAGATTTCTTGAAGGGGACTGAGGATGTCAGGGGTGGTGTTGTTGGCTGGAGTTAAACTTTCCTCAGATCAATGAATATGAAGAATCCCCTTGCGTTGTGTTCGTTGGTCTTTTCCAACAGCTGTCACACAGAGAAGATCATGTCCGTAAAAGATCGATCGCGTCATAACCCACATTGAGACTCCGGCAGAAATTCAGCAGCGATCACCTGAAGGAGTGACTGAATGGCACTAGCCAGCACCTTACCCACCACGTCCAGGAGTGAGACCCCTCGCCAGGTATCGCACTCAGAGAGGTCGCCCTTCTTGGGCACCGGCACGAGAGTAGCATCAACACATTCCTGCGATACGCTACCAGTACGCCACACATCCCGGATCCCGGATCAGGCTCACTAGTCTCAGATTGAGGTTTTCACCGCCAGCTTTCAGCATTTCTGGCGATATACCAGAAGCCCCAGCCGCCTTCCCGTTCCGCAGTCGTGTCACAGCGTAGCTGATCTCACGCGTATCAGGAAGCCCATCAAATCCTCAGCAACAGGAAGTTCCGGAACAGACTCAAGAGCGTTTGGCGTCTATGTGCTCTGCATGTTGAAAACAACAGTTGAGAGGTGCCCTCTCCAGCGTTGGCCCAGCTCCTCAGGAGAGTTGCAGATGTTCCCATTTGCATCAAATATGGCGAAGGTCCACACCGGCTGCAACCCCTGGTCCACCGCCTTGAAGTCATGTATGCATTTTCATACTATGGCGCCATTGAACGAGACTCAGTTGCTTATTGGGCCTTGGCCTGAATCCACATAACTCCAGCCGAGTCTGCAGCGGTACGTGCCCTTGCTTTGGCCGCCTAAAAACCGGCAATAGAACGGAGCATCGCACTGCTGACCATGGTACACCCAGGAATTGTAAGCAGCATCACGGACATTCAGAATAGGCTGTAGCGTAGGCATTGCCTCGCGAAACCAGTCCGGTTGATAACGTTTCGCATGGCAGAGCGTAGCAGATGCTGCAGAGCACTTGCTGTCCACGGCTGCGTCCTCTAGCCATGTTCATTCCAGTTCCTCAACAATAGTTGCCGGGTACATCTCAGCAGGTGTGTGCTCTTGCGCCTCTGCATGGGTAGGCCGCACCCTTAATTGTGCTCTCTGAACTCTTCGGGGACAGTGTTGCCAACCGCCCGTATTTGTCCGTATTTTTACGGAAAAACGAAGTTTTGTCTGCAGTACGGATTTCAATCGAATATCCCGCAAACGATCATGTACATGTATATGATCGATTACTAAAACCATTGTAACTCCATCGTTTCTTGTGCTAATTCAATAATCGAAGGGTAACAAAAACTCCAAGCTGTCCAATGCAACAATCGCTGAAGCGTAAGGGCCCGGTCACACATGCACTGGGGTTTCGCTTCGGCGACGAGGTTCTGCGGCAGCGAGCCTGGTGTCGCTCCAGCGAAACCACGTGTGTATGGTCACACATAAAACACGGCCAACTCCTACTTTGGCGGAAAATACGAGTAAAGTGGACTGTGGTGCATACGGTACGGAGAATAGACGAGGTCAATGGCTGTCTTGCACGCATTTTTGCTGCATGGACATCATACGCATACAAATCTCTCGTAGCAAGTCCATATACAGCAGACCACGGTGTTTTCCGCTGAAGCGAATCCGCAGAAGCGACAGTCTCGCTTCGAAAATTTTGGAGGAAGTGGATTGGAGTTTCCGCTGAAGCGGAAGTTCCGCTTTTCGCCGTTGCCATGCCATTTTTCGCTCTTGCGACCTCGCTTCAGCGTATACGCTACTTTAGAGTGCATGTGTGACCGGGCCCTTACGATGTTGAACTCCAGAGATATCACTCGCCGTATTCAGGTATTCTTGCCTTGGCAAAATCAATTTTTTGAACGAACTCTTTGCCATTTTGGTGGGAAATCCCTTTTTGCGTGCTCTTTGAGCAACTGAGCACTTTATAATGCTGTAGCCGGCTGAAGTTTAAATCGCCCTCGAAAATAATTGAGCGTTCTGCGATGAAGGAGAGTGGAATGGTGTTGATGCGACGATTTGCTTGCATATTAGGCTTGGCTCTCAGATTGTGCACAATCTGAGAGGCCCAAACGCGGGAGGCCTAGGAAAAATCCAGTACCTACACGGCAGGATAGTTCCCTGCCGCTGTCTGCCGTTCCGCCTTTGACATCTGTGTTGGACGGGCTTGAGCTTGGCAGCTCTTTGGAGGTGCGTGCCATTGGTGCAGCCCTCGGGTGTGCCTAAGTCTGTGCTGCTGGGTGCTGTGCCTGGGGCTGTGCCTCGAGTGGTGACAGCACCTCTGCCTCCCCCTGACCCGCCTCCTTCGAGGTCTGTGGTGGTGGGGAGCACTCGTGGCGGTCGATTTGTCCCACCGGAACCAGAGCTGGATTCAACAGAAAGACCAACAACCATGGCTGCAACAACAACACGAGCTTCACATCCGACAACAACACCAGCTTCACATCTAACAACAACAATCCACAAAACAAAGCAGCAAATGACAGACCACGCAGATCTACAGCAGATTACAACCGGACCTATGAATTCCCGGTAAACGTACAAAGGAAACAATCGGAGAGGGCGACGACTAACATGAAGGCAACGGCATTTGTGGCTGGCGTTGATGATGAAGGTGAGACGCAGAACGATGTAAGTGAGGAGATTCGAACCGGTGTGGATTATGGAGCAGGTTCTGGTTTGAGCAGTGAGGGAGAAGGTGAGCTGAGTCGGGGTGAGAGTGAGTGTGAGGTTGTGCGCGTGATTCGAGATTGTGTGCGTTCGTCTCGTAATAACAAGTCTCCAGTATACAATCATTTGTTCTCTAGTACTGACTGTTGCCGTACTTATTCCGATTCCTGTTTTTCTGTTTTGTGCCGTGCTCGGCATGGTTATCTGTTGCAGTTACACGTTTTGGAAGCTGTTTGTCAGCGCATTCATAAGCCGAATTTGTGTGTCCAGAAAGATAGAGTTATTACCCTAAAAATGTTCAAATAATGTTCTTTTGTGTAGTGTGGCAACGTTGTTGCCACTTGTGCAAAAAATGTGGTTTGTCACCTTCTTGTTTGTTATTTTTATTATTATCATTCGTTCTCACTTTTTTTGTTGCTGATACACACTTGTCACGCCTAGTTCTTACTTGTACACCCTTGTTTTCTGCACGCTTTTGTGAGAAATCACACCTCGATATTCCAGTGCTGTAATAATAATTATATAAATAATAATATAGATATAGACAGGTGTGGAGCATAGAAATACTTTTTTGCATGCAAAACACCCCTGACGTTCACACCTCACTCAAGTGGTTGCAGTGCACCTTGTCAGTTCTGTTGGCTGCATATCACATGCACATGCTTCTGACCACACTTCTACAACACTGCTCCAACTCTGTAGCAGTCAAGCCTGCCAGCCAAGGTAGCACGTTTGGGTAGTTTTGGTCGCTGTCTGCAGGTCAGATACGGCACACTTATAGCTAAAAGTCGATCGCTGGTCACGCAACACAGGTGGGCACAGATTATCACTACGAGACGATGACGGAAATGCAACTAGACATGACGAACTGAAGGCAAAGACTGCTTTTCACACCCCAGCAACACGGGCATGCACCAACTCCACGTACAGACGACGTGCACAAAATCACGCACAACCTAGCAATAAATTCGCATACTTCAGTTATCTACGTGCCTATATTGTATGTTCATGCAGTCATTTGCAAAATAATCGAATCAAGACCTTACCAAGCGTACCGTTTTCAAGTCATCTTAAAACATTGTAAGTTGTATGTTGATCATAGAGGGTTTCACATACGAGAGAGCTAGGAAGCTCAGGGCCCCACGCTGTGCTTTTTTGCCTAGCTCATCGTGCATGTTGTTAGAACTGATGGAAATGTTTTTCCTTTGATTAGCTACATCATTGTATTGCAAAAACGTTTCAATGAGTGACTGAAGTAACGTCTTCTGCATAGCTACGGGACCGGCGCTGACTCTGCTGATCGCGGGCGTTCTGGAGTCGACGGGATGTCTGTCCTGACGTTTCCTGGGACAGGCGCTGACTCTGCCGCTCACGGGCGTTCTGGAGTCGACGGGATGTCTGTCCTGACGTTTCCTGGGACCGTCGCTGACTCTGATCATGGGCGTTCTGGAGTCGACGGGATCTCTCTTCCTATGTTGCCTGTGACCGGTGCTGACTCGCCCGTTCTCGCTTATTTTGGAGACAACAGGATCTCTCTTCCAAAGTATGTTTTTGCGGACGCATCCTATCACCTATTAGGCAACTAATGTCCATTCTAATTGCATTTCCTCCTCGTCTCCCCATTTCTTTCCAGAAAATCTCCCTATAGAGGTTTTTCGAATGACGTCACACGCCCCCACGCGGCGCAGCTGCTGGCGTGTTGAGTGGCAAAAGATGAGATCGAGTGAGATCGAGATTGAACGCCAAATACAATTATTTTATTTATTTTGTTGACGGCTTGTCGTCTTTCTTTGCTATCCACTCAGTCCACACTGGCCATTTTCGCTTTACGCTTGATCTTCAGGTTTATCTTTAGCGCTTTGTTTGTGTAACCGATATTGATCAAGGTCGAAATGGGGAAGAGCTGCTCGGCTGTTGGCTGTACGAGACGATTCAAAAAGGGCGACAAAGGTTGGACAAGATTGCCCTCTGAAGAAAGTGAACCTGAGCGCAGGGAAAAGTGGATAACTGCTCTGCGAAGGGAGAACTGGACACCAGGAAAGCACAGCTGGTTATGTGGAGCGCATTTTATCGGCGGGGCGAAGAGTGATGAGCCTTTGTCACCAGACTATGTGCCACGTGTGTTTACGTTTGTACGGTCCCCAGTCAAGAGGAAAATGCAGGAGGAGTTGGAGGCTTACCACCGGCGTGCAAAGCGGACTCGTTTGTTTGCTGATCAAAGCGCTACAAAGGCTGTGGAATCGACTGCAGCAACTCCTACTCCTGATCCTGCTGAATCCGCGTCCACTTCAAAATCTTGCCAAACAGATCTCACCATGGGCAAGCTTCACGATTTGGAGAGTGAAAAGGAGCAGTTGAAGGCATCAGTAGCGAAACTGCAGGCCCGAGTGACGGAGTTGGAGCTGGAGAACGCCACCTTGAAGCTGAAGCAGCCGTCTTATGGGTACACTGAAGATAATTTCAAAAATGACCCTGCCAAAGTCCATTACTACACTGGCCTGCCTGATGTGAAAATCCTGTCAACTGTCTTCTCTTATGTGTCAAAGCCTCTCTCTGCCCATGGTCATAGCAAGTTGTCCCTCTTCCAACAATTCATCCTCGTGCTCATGAAACTTAGACTGAACCTCGCGCATCAGGACTTGGCTTACCGCTTTGGCATCAGTCCGGCCACTGTCACAAAGATATTTGAGAAGTGGATTCAAGTGATGTTCGTCCGGCTACGCCCACTTATCCGCTGGCCAAACCATGGTGACCTGGAGAAGACCATGCCGAGGAGCTTCCGCGGACAGTTCGGTCGCTGCGTCTGCATAATCGACTGTTTCGAGGTATTTATGGAGAGGCCACGTAATCTTATGGCTAGAGCTCTCACCTTTTCACATTACAAATCCCACAACACTGTCAAGTTTTTGGTTGCTGTCACACCCCAAGGCTCCATATCCTTCATCTCCAAGGCTTGGGGCGGACGAACACCTGACAAGCATTTGACGGAGAACTGTGGCCTATTGAAGCTCCTCAATCCGGGAGATCAAGTCATGGCGGATCGTGGATTTACTATCGAAGACAGCGTTGGCATGTACTGTGCCAAACTAGTCATCCCTTCCTTCACCAGGGGGAAGAAGCAGCTGAGAAGGCAGGAGCTCGAGCAGTCACGCCAAATCGCGAATGTGCGTATCCACGTTGAGAGGGTGATCGGCCTGCTTCGGCAGAAGTATACCATCTTGCAGTCAACCCTGCCTATCACCCTATTGAAGCATGATACGGATGAGAAGGAGTCCATGATTGATCGTATTGTTAGTGTGTGCTGTGCTTTGTGCAATTGCTGCAAATCTGTTGTGCCGCTCAACTGAGCACTGTGATAGTAGTTTGTAGATGATTGTGATTTGCTGCAACGGGTTTATGCATTGTGGTACTCTGCTCATTATACACGTTGCCGTTATTATCTTGGTCATGAAACTCATCATGCCACCATGGTCCTGCAATGTCAGCTCTGCTTGCCATATCAACGAGTGTCAGTTATTTTGCCTATGTCTGGTGGCACCCTGTTTCAATGTCCATTGGATGCCTGAACTGGCCGGCTATGCGCTGAACTGTGAATGTATTGTTTTATTTTTTTAATAGCATCAAATGGAAAATAGCTGTACACCATGATTAATGAAACTGTCTTTGTGTTCGGCAATGTGAACTTCAATATTTGCATATAAACTAACACTATCGGCACCCAGACAAGTTGAACTTGTTCGGTTGTGGATGAGCTTTGGGTGTAAATCCACTTCAATGCTGGGGTTCCATTCCCTTTCCCAGGAGTCAAACTCAGCCAAATTGGGAGTTTAGTGTATCTCTCTTGTTGCCGCAATTGCCTTTCACAGGCACAACAAAGTCTGAGTGGTGGTCCAATGGCTTTCACTATGGAGAGGATCTTGGTTTAAAAGAAGACACTGGTTCACACAATAATTATACAGAATGTGATTGATGAGGTACAACAGTGTAATCGCTACTGACATACGATTTGAATACCTCAAAATTAGAAAACTAGTTTATGCCATACTCCATACACAAGATATCCAGCGACGTCATGCGTATACAATGTAACTGTACAAGTTGCAGGATGACGGCATCGTCAGGGGTAGACTTGAGCAACGTACATACCATACGGCAGACTGTGAAATGAAGAACAGGCATGACCAGTGAATGCTGCACAATACCTCAGTATCAGTATTCCTGAAAGGTAGGACCTGTTAATAATTACCACTCGAGAGAAGACTGTAAACTCATCTTGTTATCAGCAAACTGAAATACATTACAAATACATTATAAAAGTAGAAAGGAAAAGGACATATGGAAACGAGTTAAGAGTAACTCTCCACCACTGTATGTCCTTTTCCTTTCTACTTTTATTATTGGCTCAATACCCGAGTTTCAAAATACATTATAGCAAAGGAAAAGGAGCGAGAACACGCCAAGCTACTTGCATGGGAGAAAAGGCTAACTCACTCCACGAACTACAAAACAAATCTCATCCTTTCACACGCAGTGAAGGAGCTTACAAAAGTGAAAGGCAAGTGCATATGGCTGCACACACAGCCTACGCTAGCTGCAGCGCTGGTACACCGGAACTATTATCATAAAGAGCCAGCCAGCATGAATCAAAGCAATCGACTGTCGCGACACCAGTGCAGACAAAGTGATGCGTACACAATACAGACAAGGGGACAAGTCCAGCCAGATACAGTTACTTGAGCAGAGAGAAGCACCAACACAATCTTCAGGATGCATGCACATAATTCTAACAGGACCACTCCTCAAGCTTTCGACTTCTTCTGGCGAGCTGCCTTGCGGCATTCAGGACAATGCCAGCTCTTACCGGGCTTCTTCTTGAGGCCTAGGCACTTCACATGGAAGAAACGGCGAGTGCAATCAGTATTAGCACACTTCGCTACATCACCGGCCTCTTTCCCGTCACAGTAACAACCACCCGGCGATGACAATGTAGTCTGTGGCAGACCCACTGTGGCTGATGCGCCCGCTGCTGCTGGTGGTCCGTCAGGTAAGCTATCAAAGTTCTTTGAATACCATTTAGCGGCTAGTTCCGGTAGAACTCCAAGTTTGTAGAAATCTACAACTGCCTCCAAGGCTTTAGCCATAAACGGCGCATCAGGAAGTATGCGCTCCACGTGCAGCTCTTCCTTGTTCCAGACTATGAAGTCACAGTGTCTGGCAGCGCAGACCTTCAGCTGGAGCTGGACCTGATAGTAGTAGGCATGGTCGTGCTTTAGGCGAAGCTGTGGCAGCAACCCGGAGGAAGACGGGTCCTTCTCCAAGCAGAATTTGCTCTCGTCAGCAGCATCAGCGAATGCCTTGTCCCGGCATGAATAGGGACACTTGATCTCAAGCACACCGGCCCCACAGCATGCACAACTGACAAAGCCATCTGGGCTTGCCCCAAGATACGGGAAGTCAGGAGACAGGCAAAGACCGCACTCAGTCACAGACAGCTCCTTGTGAACAGCCCCCTGCTTCCTTACATACAGCTCACGCGCACTGGCCTCATGCTCACAGCCCCATTTAGTGGCTGAAGTTGTGAACGCTTGCGCCTCCGGATAACAAATGGCTTTGATGAGCGACACGGATGGATTGCTGGGATTGGTGCGCGTAGCAGCTTTGAAGCGGGATGCTGTTACCCTGCCAGCACGGTAGCGAAACCACTGCTTGGAGGTAGCCTGGTCCTTTGTGAGCCTCTCCACAGCCTTTGCCTCCTCCGCAGTCACAGTTATTGCGCTGAACACTTTTTCACAGTGCTGCAGCACATCGGCAAAGTTGGCTGTCAACAGTGCGTCATTGTAGAGCTCGTCTACCAGGTATGGTGGGCAGCCGTCCTGATCCTTTGGAGCGTACCGGTCAGAGAAGGCAGGCATAGTGCTCAGCACCGCACAAGAGCCGGCGGAATCCAGAGAGGCACATAGGGCATCAACTTCCTCAGCTGTGGGATTGTCAAACGGAGCAGGCTTGCTCTTGGCGGAACTGCTGGTAGCTCTTGGTTGTTTATTCTTATCCTTCCTTGGGTCGGGCACAGCAAGATCAAT